CAGTTTAAAGCCATTAGCCCTTGTCCTGTTACTACATGCCCTTGTAAAAAGTCCCTCTCCAGCTTTCCTGTAGGCCCCCTTTAAGTACTGGAAAGCTGCAATAAGATCACCCCGGAGCCTTCTCTTCTCCAGGCTGAACAGCCTCAACTCTCTCAGCCTGTCTTCATAGCAGAGATGCTCCAGCCCTCGGATCATCTTCATGGCCCTCCTCTGGACTGACTCCAGCAGCAACATGTCCTTCTTGTGTTGGGGACTCCAGAGCTGAACACAGTACTCCAGGTGGGGTCTCACAAGAGCAGAGCAGAGGGACAGAATCACCACCCTTGACCTGTTGGCCACGCTTCTTTTGATGCAGCCCAGGATATGGGTGGCTTTCTGGGCTGCCAGTGCACATTCCCAGCTCATGTTGAGCTTCTCATCCACCAGCAGTCTCAAGTCCTTTTCCTCAGGGCTGCTCTAAATCCATTCTCCGCCCAGCCTGTACTTGTGCTTGGGATTGCCCCGACCCATGTGCAGGACCTTGCTCTTGGCCTTGTTGAACTTCATGAGGTTCTCACAGGCCCACCTCTCCAGCCTGTCAAGTTCCCTCCGGATGGCACCGGCCCCAATATCGACCCCTGATGAACGCCACTCATCACTGGCCTCCACTTGGACATCGAGCCGTTGACCGCAACTCTTTGAGTGCGACCATCCAGCCAATTCCAAATTTGTCAGGCAGGATTTGCCCTTAGTGAACCATGTTGGCTGTCACCAATCACCTCCTTTTTTGCCATGTGCCTCAGCATAGTTTCCAGGGGGGTGGGTCTCCTGCATGATATTGCTGGCTATGGATGTGAGACTGAATGACCTGTAGCTCCCTGGGTCTTCTTTTTCTCCCCTTTTTAGAAATGGGGGCTATGTTTTCCCTTTTCCAGTCAGTGGGAACTTCACCAGACTGCCATGACTTCTCAAATATCATGGATAGTGGCTTAGTAACATCATCTGCCAGTTCCCTCAGGACTCGTGGATGCACCTCACCAGGTCCCATGGACTTGTGCACCTTCTGATTCCTTAGATGGTCTCAAACTTGATCTTCTCCTACAGTGGGTGGTTCTTCATTTTCACAGTCCCTGCCTTTGCCTTCTGTGACTTGGGCTGTGCAGCTGGAGCTCTTGCCAGTGAAGACTGAGGCAAAGAATTCATTGAGTACCTCAACCTTCTCCATATCCCGGGTAGCCAGGTCCCCTGTTTCCTTCCAGAGAGGGCCCATGTTCTCTCCAGATCTCTTTTTATCACTGACATACCTATAGAAGTTTTTCTTGTGGCCCTTGATGTCCCTGGCCAGACTGAATTCTGTCAGGGCTTTAGCCTTCCTTACCTGATCTCTGGTTGCTCGGACAATTTCTCTGTATTCTTCCCAGGCTACCTGTCCTTGCTTCCACCCTCTGTAGGATTTGACCAGGAGACTGAACTCCTTCTTCTGAAGTATATTACTGACTCCCCAAGAGATCACAGAGAAAAACAACAAGGACCTATTTGGAAGAACTACTAGAAACTTTTCCATGTTTTTTCCTGACTAGGCAGGAGAAATAAGGGTAGAGAGGGAGGAAGACATGGACATACGACTCCAAAGGAGCATGATAACAAAGCTTCTATTTTAAGTGCTTATCTTTTGTTCTATATCAAATCTGGACTGATTAAAGTGTACATTTCTGACAGCTACACATATAGAATGCAATGGGATAAATCACGACAATGGAATTTTAACAAAGGTAATTCCACTAACGTTCACTTTTCAGAAATAATGCACTGACTATGGCTCTGCTGGAAAGCCAGGCCTTGCACTGCATTCCTCAGCTGGAAACTAGAGCAACATGCTATTATAGTGGTACCCTGAGAAATTATAAAAAAGATGTCTAGAATCTTGTTATGATCAGGTTAAAGTTTTCTAGTGGTCCAGATGCAGATTGGGGTCTTCCACTTAGTAACACCAAACTAAACTATTACTTCAGTTAAGGAAATAACCTCAATAGTAACATGAAATAAAATTTCTCAAAAATTCATCATATCTTGGATAAGAAAAGCCTGGTGTAAAGTTCATAATTTGGTGTGGGGGTAAATTTTTTTGTTTGTTTTTTTTTTAATGAACTTCAGAATCCAATGAGATGACAATTAATCATGACAGTAAACCAGACCATCCCTTCCACAAATCAAGTGACAGAGCCGAAGTCTGCAAATTTATTATATTCTTCCTTTATGTACAGGCGGTTCTAGTTTCATTGCTGTACTAGTATCAGTAGACTGAGATACAAAAATCATCACCTATTACTTTCCTTTCAAGGGCTTGACCTATAACCAGGTCTCTCTCTCTTCTTTTTTTTTCTGAGGAAAAGATAGGAAGATAGAGAGATGGATGGCAGGAAGTAACTTAAGTTCTTAATTCCTCAAGCTCAGTGCTTAAAACTATTTGTGTGAAGTAGGAGATGCAACCTCTAGAAAAACAAATCAGCTTTCCAGAGACCAAGGTGAAAAACTGTCCTCTCACAGCTTAGCAATGAAGCTAGTTGTATGCATTTCCAATGATCATTGGAATTTTGTAAATAAATTCCCCGCTCTCAAACTCTCACTTATGTCTAATAATGCACTGGAATTATTTTTCTCTTGAAATACAAAAAAAACGCAAACTGAACATGTACTACACATTTCGCGTCCTTCGCCACTGACTTTTTATTCAGAAGAATTATTCAGAGATAAAATGATTCTATAGCTATAAATCTAGTATCTCCCTGTTCCAAAACATGTCTACACATTACCAAGGAAGACAAAAATTATTCTCTCCAGGAGAAGTTGTTTGGTTTGTTATTTTTAAAAAATCTAAAGTAATTTGATTTATTAACAAATTTTTGCAGAGCATTATCACATATTTTTAATTTTACAAGAGCAAAATATAGTCTTTCTTAATTATCTATGTTCTGTTCCCATTAAGTGGTTTATTTTATCAACATAATTTCAGCATTTGCACAAACCACAATTAAGCTTTTATGCCAGTAATGAACTCATTCTTACAGGGATTCTTACCAGAATCATAGTTTGGTGGCTTCATATCTCCCTGATTCAATTCTGTGCCATATTTTAATTTGTGATATTTAGCCCTAAAAAAAAAAAAAAGAAAAGAAAAAAGAAACATTAGCACATTTAAAGGGTATCTCTAAACACATAAATGTCACCTGTCTTCACTTGAAAAGTCACTCCTTTCTTCTACACTAGGAACAAAAGAAAATAAATAATTTCAGTAGGACTCCAGATATGTAATTCTGCTTAATTATTTTTTCCAAGGTTGACACACAATTGCAAATTGAATACTGATGAAACACAGGGATCAGTAGACTGCAGATTTTACAAAGTGTTCTTGCTACAGAAAACGTTCCTTCCCTGTGGACACCGGCTACTCTCTGCTTCCCTTCCCATCTCACCCTTTTCTTTTTTTCCAGCCATCACTATGAAACATTTCTACTCTCCATGTCAGTTGAATGCCATCTACTTCATATTTCATATTGTCACCTCAATTAAGCAAACCTTAGTTTTATTCTTCAAAATGCTGCGCTTTCCAACAGCAGCAAGCCCTCAGTTAGAACTATCCTAAATGAGATTTAGCACTGACAGCAGCCTATCTACAGCAGTTTCTCATAAACCTGCTAGATCTGCCACTCAACAAAGCTTGAAAACAGAAACTTCTCTTCCAAAAATATTTAGCTTACAGAAAGCTGATTGTAATAAACCCCACAAATCATGCTATACAACAATAAAGAGTAGCTAGAAGAAAAAGGGAAACGCTTTTTTAATTTGAAGAGCTTCATCCTACAAAGTCAGTGTCTATAGACTTTTAAACACACCAAATAATGCCACAGTAGTACAGCATTACAAATGCACATATAAGTTAAAGATTCATCAGAGTAGTTTTACAACACAGTAACAGAGAAGCTGCTATCTGTTGTCCCCTTTTCTTGCTCTCACTGTAAATTTGTCTCTACAGTTGTTTCGTTTCCTGTCAAATGTGAAAATGTGGACAACTTGAAAAACTCGATTCCCTATAAATTTTTGTAGACATTTATAACTGGGTAGAAAAGCAGCACTCATACTAGTTCCTACCCTGAACGACAGGCAGTGAAGAATTGGGGCAGCGCTGGACATGCAGCCTAGCAGTAAGGGGATAACCAACTACCATGAGCACATACTCAGCTCCAAGGCAAATGTATGGAGCTGGGTGTAAGATGGCAAGATACAGGCTACCAAGGACAAAAAGAAAAAAACAAAAACCCCTCCCATACACCAACAAGAAGATAGGCTTCGTTAGCTCCGCTATTCGCAAGGGAATTCTTCAACTTAAAATTTGTGTTTAAAAAAATTAATGGGTGTGACACTTCATAATTGCATGAGGTAAGTCTTACTAAGCTCGAACGACTGTGTCAAGAACAACTGTAAACAATATTTTCAAGCTACCTGCACCTCTTGATTGCTTCTCAGACATCTTCATTACATTACTGTTTTCTTTTGCCTTTTTCTATTTCATCAAGAAAACTCATTACTTCTAACCAAACGGTGCTGAGGAAAGCGATGTTTGGTAGTTCTTATGCTTCAGTATTGGCAGTACTAGTTTCCTACTAATCCAGCTGCATTTTAATTATAATCAACATTTAATTCTGGATGAGAACGGTAAGCACAGAATGAAGAAATGCCTCTTAGGCATAGCAAATACAGATGAAAAAAATGACCTTCTCCTCAACAGCTAAAGCACTAAGCACTAATTCAGTTGAGTAGCAACCAGAAAGGAAAGGAGAAAGGATGCTCTTGAAATGTACTAACAGCAATAAGTGAAGGATAAACATTTTGGTCAGTACAGAAAAGAATAACCAAGAATAGAACAAAATTAAAGCTGAATGCTCAAACAAAATATTTACCTTTCCTTTCCCAGCTATCTGCTTTCTACATTTGACTGGTAGAGAGATGTTACCCTGGTAAAACAAATCCATTTCATTATTTTTAAATACTGATCCTACATATACTTCCTCCACCTCACCATCACTAATAAAAAGTAACGACTAACCAAGAACTAAGAAATCCTCTAATCTGTCACTTACCTACCTCAACAACTTTAAATGCTACACTTTGTTAAAAACTTCAAGTTTTCATGCAGTCAGCAATTCAAGTGACCCTAATGCTTAATCCATTTTGATTTGACTTACCAGAAGTGAGCAAATATTAATATTTCACTCAAATCTGGATGAGTGACCTATACTGTGCTCTACTTAATTCTTGCAAATAATTTCAGAGAGCAATTAGTGGCATGAGGAATTTGCTTTTAGTTCATGGGTCTGATATAAAACTCCATTATCCTCTATGCATTCAGTAACTTTCTTATCAAAGTTTTGTTAATAATTCTCACCCTAAGAGCCAAAGTAAAATGTTTGCTAGATTAACTGAAATGATCATTCCTTATACCTTTCCTATTCCTTCAGATCTCTCACCTGTTCTCCAAAATCCATTTTTCAAAAAATTCAGCTTGCATTTTTTTAAAACTTCTCAGTATATTTACGTAACTCTCCTACATCTGTGTATGCTCAGTTTTTAAACTTCTTTCCCTCTTAAATCAACGGTAATATTCTTCCTTCTTCTTATTGAAGTTCTTCCTCTCATTAAAGGAATTATAAAGTCAGTTCAGCAAAGTGAGACTATTCATTCTATCCACATTCTAAACTATTCATAGCAGATTTTAACTGGTTCCTCCTCGTCATGCAACAGTTTTTAAAGCCTTTGTTATTCTTCATTAATTCAAGAGGATAACCTGGATTACATGGTTTTGTACACCACTGGCTCTTAAATTTATTATAAGGCCAAGCTGGCCTTTTATCTTTCAGAAGATTTAACTTTGTATATTACAGGCAGAGACCAGTGAAAATACAGACATGGCAGAGTAATCATGTCCAAACAAACACAGGTAGTTGAAGAGCTGACAATTCCTTAAAGCAATCCTTATCTTTAATGTTGCTGGGAAAGTTAAAAACAAAGAGCCACAGATCTTTGCCTGCACAAAATGACAAAAAAACACAATGCCAATCTCCAACCTGAATTAATTAGAATCAATTAGCACAAATTCAGGTATCTTAGCAAGACACCAGTTAGATGTGAACAAACACGAATACCATGTCAGAGTACCTGACTCGCTGAACTCACCTTCGGCTATGGTCAGACTCTAAAGTTCAGAGGAATATCTTTTAAAAAGTCAACATAGATAGCTAATAGTCCATCAAGGAAGTATTTTCTACACTTTTTCAGGCAGCAACTATGATATTTATTATTAGAAACTATCTCATGGAACAGTTGAAAATGTCACAGGTATGAAACATAAATACTCTTCTTTCTAAAGCATCCTAAGAAAATGGCTGAACACAAGAAGTCAGACTCCAAGACTAGAAGGGAGAGTCTTGACCATTCAGTTATATATATTGCAATAAAAGGCTATGAAACTTCTCAGAAAATGAAATTTAATTATTTTCCATACAAATTCTGAGTATAGGTTATTCCATTAGCATGTTTATATTTAATCTATTTCTACAACAACAGAGTATTTCTCTCCTGCCTACCTGTCATGCTTAATTTCTCTGCTTGTTCATAAATCACATAGTCCACTTATGAACAGTGGCCCTCTGCAATTCACATTGAACTTTAGCTCACACATCACAGCAGTGAGATACGATTATCACAAAAAAGAGCAAATGTATCTTTACAGGAAATAAGTATAAAGAAAAAAAAAAAAAGTTTCTTCAAGCTTTGTATTATCTGGTCCAAATCAAGGACAGTGGCTTTGGGGCAGGGCAAGAAGGAGGGAAACAAACCACAAAGATGAGCCTTTATTATCTGAAACTTGTTCAACTTGGACAATTTACCTTCCATTTCCAAAAATCACATCTGAATTATTAACAGTATACAGAGACTGAAAAATTACATGAAAATAACTAGCTGAAGGATACAGCTTTATAGAAGGTATTTTCCACCTGAAAACTAGCCTTCAAGTTGTTTGGAGGAAAGCTCTTTTGGGGCTGTGAAACTATGTTACAGGGTAGATGCCCTTAGTCAGACAAGTATGAATATTAGCACTGCTCTGGCTTTTGCACTTCATTATGCAGTTCTCCTTTTTACATTAGTAGCATTTTCTTTAAACTATGTGTCTTCTATGTAAACAGTGCTTGGAGACATTCAACATGGCTGCCACAACACTTCAAGAGTGGCTTAGGAAAAGGCTAAAAGCTTTCATCCTTCTAAATTTCCTAAGACTGAGAGCAGTGAAACTTTTCTGAATACTTCACACAGAAACAAGTTTGATCCTGATCAAAAAAGGCCACTATTTCTTGGAAATATCTGTCGCCAGACCTGAAGCATCGGATCCAGCTGTGCTGAGGGAGCCTGCCAAAACACCCGTAGAAGATCTGGGAGCCGCCGCCAAACCAAGAGACATAAACAAGAACAACTGCCAGGAACAGCACGGCGAGATATTCTACCCAGGGGAGAAGGCGCCAGCCTTACTCTGATCAGACACACCAGTGCAGAAAACAACATAAAATTAAACCAAGTGTTTCTAGAGACATGGCTCAGGAGTCCAGTTCTTTGGTTAAAATATGTTAAGACAGGAAACAAGCTAGACTAGATAAAGTAGGATACGTACTTGAGAGAAACAGTACTACATTTCAGCTAGCGCCTGAAAACCCAGAGGAAAGAATGCAATTTACTGGTGGTGGAGCAAGTATTGATAAAGTAATAAAAAGTAGCCCTCAACTGTCAACAGCCTCACACTGCAATCTACTGGATGTTGGCAAAACTACACCAAAACTGCTGTTGAACAAATCATAGTGCTTAACTATTAACTACCTCCTTCTAAGCTCTTTGCTATTTAGTGTATTAAGACTCTTCAGGAGAAGTAACTGGGCTTCCTATACATGCAACAAAATGGTAATCTTACAATTACTAACAAAAACTGAACGTTAACAGCATTTGTCAGAAAAACATGGTAATCTGTGAGTAAAAGTCATCTTCTACCTTACCCGCTATAAAATTACGTAAGTGCCATGAAATAGAGAACAATGACAATGCTTCCAAAGTTGTTTATTTATAGTCAACTTTGAAAACATTTAGTTGACAAAAGAAATGCTGAACACTCACTACATAGAACAGCAGCTCATAAAAGCATGTATCTGAGAAAACCAGCATGGCTCACTTCTTGCTCACAGTTTCCTGAGGGCATTGCAAACATAGACTACTCTGGGCCACAATTTCATATTCTGTCCCGTTACTCCTAACTTATTTCATCTAGCTAAGAAAGATCTGGTGTGCTGCAAGGTCAGGGAAGAAATGCTCCCCTGCTCCCTCTCACCCACACGAGTCTTCCACTAACTCGACCAGAAGTGTTTCCTCCTACCTTGTAGGATCTCATTTTCCATCTCTGAGCCCAGTGGAAACAGCCAGCATCCCAGCTGGCTACTGCCTGATCTGGCCAATGGCTGATTCAGGAAAATGCTGGGAAAGAGAGCAGTGCTTCCAAGCTCACTATGTTGCCATTCTTTTAAGTATCAAGCAAAACACTTGCTGGAAGACATTTCCAACAGAAATACAAGACTAGTTTCTTCAGAAACTGGCAAATAATACTGCTGTTTAAAGCCACAAATTCTTATAAATAGCTGTCTCCAGCACACACCACTCACAAGCATCACATTTACTTTAAAAACCATTGCACACCCATACCAAAATCATCAAACTGGATCGGATCAGCTGAGTGTAGCCTACTGACCTAAGTAACAAAGCCTAATAACATACACTGCAGAAAAAAACCACAAGAAAATATAAAAGACAACTATGTAAAAACTGCTAATAATAAACCACTGCATTAGGATTTAAATGTCTTAACTGAGGTGGATTTTACTGAATGCAACTGCGAGACATTTTCACCAATCATTTGGAAGTAATTTTGGGGTTTTTTTGTTGTTTTTTTTTTAATCTTAAAAAGCTTCTCACACATAAATGCGTGGCCAGCAGGTCGAGGGAGGTGATTCTGCCCCTCTACTCTGCTCTCGTGAGACCCCACCTGGAACACTGTGTTCAGCTCTGGAGTCGCCAGCACAAAAAGGACATAGAGCTGCCGGAGTGGGTCCAGAGGAGGGCCATGAAGATGATCCAAGGGCTGGAGCACCTCTGCTATGAAGACAGGCTGAGAGAGTTGGGGCTGTTCAGCCTGGAGAAGAGAAGGCTCCAGGGTGATCTTATTGCAGCCTTCCAGTATTTAAAGGGGGCCTACAGGAAAGCTGGAGAGGGACTTTTTCCAAGGGCATGTAGTGATAGGACAAGGGGCAATGGCTTTAAACTGAAAGAAGGCAGATTTAGATTAGATATAAGGAAGAAATTTTTCACTCAGAGGGTGGTGAGGCAGTGGAACAGGTTGCTCAGAGAAGTTGTAGATGCCCCATCCCTGGAAGCGTTCAAGGCCAGGTTGGATGAGGCTTTGGGCAATCTGGTGTAGTGGAGGGTTTCCCTGCCCATGGCAGGGGGGTTGGAACTAGATGATCTTTGAGGTCCCTTCCAACTCTAACCATTCTATGACTCTATGATAAATGTATTTACATAGTCTGATAATTTTAGATAAATTGCTAATTTATCTGAGTTATAAACATGAAGTATTTGAGGTATTTCTGAGTAATCAGGAACAGTTTCCTCAATTTTGAAATACAAGAAGTCTTACTGAATTTATATTCCTTAGAGCATATCTTTAACTGCACAAGAATGTTCTCCATTGTCTTTTAAAGAAACTTGTATAATCACGCCTCAAACATAAGCCTTTCCATGGTTATAAACTACAATCGCCATTACGCATATATTTGAAATTTTTCTGTGCTATTTGATGTAAGATCAGTGCCATAACAAGGCCTGGACAAAAAGAGTATCTACCTTAAACATTCCTTCAAGAACTCCCCAAAGGGGAAGCAAGCACGCTGGAGCCCTGAGGCTACTGCTGGCCAGGAAACCAGCTGCAGCTCCATGCTAGCAGATGAACTGGTTGCTATCAGAAAGAGTCAAACGGGACAATGCAAGGCATGTCTCATGCTAAAGCAGTCCACACAACATGAGTAAATCTAAATGCAAAACAGTGATGTAAAACTATTAGTGCCCTTTTTAAATTATCTAGCTGAAACATCCTATTCCTCATTTGCACATGTGTATATTGCTAATCTTATTTCTACTAATACAAACTATTTAAAAGAGGTTTATTTTATTAATATTTTAATAAAGAGAAGTAGGAATTACCTGTAGGGTATGTAAGCAATGACTGCTTTGCAGTAGTACCATAAATATACTCTATAGTCTTTAAAAGACATTTTACTAATTTAAAGACTCTATAGTCTTTAAAAAAGACATTTTACTAATAAAAACAATTTTAAAACTAAACTTGGCCTAAAATAAATCAGTTAGAAAGACCTCGGGAAACATTAAAAAAAAAAAAAATTCATTTGTCTCAAAGATTAGACCAACAGGAAAGCATATGCAAGAATAAAATAGTAAAGTAGATTGTGGACTTCTACTGAAACCCCTGTGAACAAAGAAATAGACATTTGATCAACTAGTAAACACAAACATTTTTTCACTCCTCACAAAATTAGCCTCCAGAAGATATTCCAGTGAAGTCTACCTTACTGAAAAGACTAAAAACTTAGCAAGATTAAAAACTAGAAAATCACTAGACTGAAGACAGTTATTCAAGATTCCAGTTGTCAAAGATTATTAAACAAAGCTAGTACTTTGAACAAAAAGAGAATACATCATAATTCTGGGGTATAATCTATACAGTTCAGTGGAATTTTACCAAGGAAAAAGTATCCCTCGCTGATCAACCATGGGTTTTATCTGCATGTTTTCAGAGCCATACTATGTTAGCTACTGCTTTTACCATAATGCAGGCATTCAGATTAAAAGGTTTATTTAGTATGACAATATTTGTCAATTTGAGAGCTCAATACATACAGAATAAATATTTCTTATTTTGTCAAATATAAAGGCAAAAGAAAGTATCTGTATTCAGAATTTCTTCATCATGTACTCATCACTAAAGCCACATACCTTTCCTGTTTAAGCGCATATTCCAGCATTTTGATTCTTCGCACGAGATCCTTCTTCAGATTTTCTTGTCCTTTCCTTTCACCTTGAAGAAAGGCGATTTGGGCCTGCAAAAGGAAGCATTCAGTTTAGAATCTGCTTCCTCAAAATCATTCAACATAGCTCTTAAGTGTGTACGTCTCTCCCATGTTATTTTTAAATTGATTTGCACAGTTCAAAAGAAATGGGCTTACTGTGTTTCATAAACATTAAACACTTAGATAAAACATTGCATAGATAAGCCTTCTAAACTGCATGGTCGTTACAGATCGGGGAGGGGGAAAAAAGATAACAAAAAAGCAATTTTAGTTTGACAGGGTTTATTTCCTTTCTTGGCTAAGCATTCAATAAAGGATAAGGAATAGATAAAATAAGCATAGAAAAAGCCTTCAGCAGATAAAAGCGTTTACTAACAAGAAGCAGATGATGAAGTATTTCTGCTTACTAACTGAAGTAGTATACAACTAGTGCGCTGTTCTATAGATACATGTTAGAAACATGATACTAGTCAAAGAACTGAAGTACAGCATGTTCGGCTAAAAGAAAAATAAAACCCTGTTTGTAATACAGTGCCAAGTGTTAATTATAATACTTACTAAAATAGGTTAAACAAAGCTCTCTAGAAATACTGTAATTAAGAGTGAGAAAAAAACAGAAAAGAGGGAAAGGTATTTTGGTGGAAGAGACATGGAAAGAAATGGTATAGAAGCAAATAAAAGTCAAGCAGAAAACAGACACCTAACCTTTATCGACTTCCAGCAGAGAATAAGTATTTAGTTGCCCACGAAAAATCTCCCTTAAATAGAAAACTATGATATACATACAAGATACTCATTCCTAGCACAAAGGCAGAACTACCTGCTTTTGTACTTCATGCTTATATGAAGTCCCTTATAAGAGGCAGGTTCTTACGGTCTCTCAACTCATGAATACACTTGTAGACAAAAACACCTATGGTCAGTCACCACTTCACACCTTGGCCTCACCTGCCTTGCAAACCGCTTGCCAGTTTCAGGATCAGAAGTTTTCGGCCATCTCTGCAGCTAGGTCTCCAAGTACCTCATCTGCCTCTTGAGAAGCACAAACAAGATAAAAGGCAACTGGTCTAGCCCATCAGCTGTTGAAGGTGAAGACCGGTAAACCTTTCATTTCCATAAATATCCACTGCAGTGTGTACCAACCTGCAGGAAAAGCTTGGGAGAAACGAGCAGGGGTATCTTTTCCACACCTGACACAACCTAACAAGCAGTCTCCCGATATTTGAGTTAATGGAGACAGACACTTCTAAAGACTAACTTGTCACTACATATTTTTACCCTAAGGTGAGAAAAGCAGTGTCTATAAATGCCATCTTCTCTCCACCAACTACAAAGGGAATGCAAATAACAAACTCGGTTGAACTTTGGAGATCAGGCAAGAAGAATCTTACTCCAAAAGGCATTTGTTGGTGGCCAGCTACAACAGCTGCTCAAAAATATGACACCAGCTGACATAATTTCATTGCTCAAGTACAGCCAGTAAACAGCTTGACAGACACCTGAAGAATCCTTAACCACCAGTCACCAACTAGAGCAGCCAGTTTATGACGAGTGAAAAACATTGGTGCTCTCCAATGAAGTCGGTCTTCACCCTTAATGGGGAAAATGCATTTAACTGCCAAAAAACCCTCAGCTGAATCAAAAGAAAGGCCTCTGTCGCTCTAGCATTAAGCTTCTCCTCACTTTACACTCAAACTGGGATGAACAAAAATTACAATTGAATTTTAACATTCATTTTACGCTCCGGTTTAGGGAAAGGCACAGAACAAAGAAACTCTGGCGCTGGAGTCAGCATTTCCTGAAGAATGTAACTGTGCAAGAAGCATGTCAACTCAACAAGGTCACCATCTCTCAGTAACAAGGGGAACACCCCAAGCACATAAAACTTCGTTTGCGGTAACTGTACAGCCACCCAGATTACAATGCATACAACCACGATAGTGGTTCCTCTCTCCCTGCCTCCAAAGAGGTCCACTGGAAATAAACAAGTGCCCTTCTAGCCAAAAAGTGAGGGAACATCATAGTGTACTATTAAAAAATTGTAGAACACGATGTAAATATGCATTTGGCTAGAATGAAAAAGATCATCCAATGCCATCAAGACACAAGCTGAAGTGATTTATGATGTGACCTGCTGTCAGCAAGCAATTTCTAGCCAAGAACAAACCAACTGAACAGGATGGAATGAAACACTTTTTCCCGGCAGATTGACAAAGGACAACTAGCAATGTAGCTAGTAATGGCCCAGCTCACGCACTGCTCTACTACAAGAGTGAAACGCGCATTACTATGCTAACAATTGAAGTTCAAGTCATCTTCCACTGGCAGCAGCCTAAATAAAGAAAAAAATGCAACTTCTCAGTAGTTTTGACAGCTTTCTTTTATAAGACAGACAGACATAGACAGATCTGATTAAGAAATATCATAAGACACCTCCTTCATGTGAAAATGAGCACAGACATGCTTCCAATACAGGGCAGGCCTGGCTCTGTGACTTATCTGACTAACCATTGGAGAACCAAGATTCAAAACTGTTACCAGAAGTTTTTTAAGCAGGTAAAATAACCTAAGTGTTTCTAACTCTACTGCCTCTGGAGCTGAAGCATCTGTGTCTTCCAATTCAAAGAAGGAAAAGGATTGTGCTCTGCCTCCTCAGGGCCACTGGCAGGCTGTATGTATTATACACATATTGCACAGGAAGAAAGAGCACTGGAAGAAATACTGATTGAATCTTCTATTGTCAGTGGTATGCCAATGCTCTTACTGATGTCTTAAAATTTTACTTTTTCCTGGACTTCCAAGAAATTCATGTGTTCATTAATCAAAAAGCATGCAGCATCAACAGAGTGGAATTCATGGCCCAGGAGCCATCTCTCCAGCCCTATACAAGCTTATTGCCAGGATCTTCGAAGGTTACCATGTACTTAACAGATCAGTAGTTTTACTGGCAAATCAAGAAACAGACAAGTGCACCAGAGAGCTTGACAATAATTTTGCTCTCTCCTTGGAGGCTGCGCAGTTCCTAGCATAGCTTGCTCATGCTTTTCTTCTGAGTAGCATCCTTACATCCAATGCTCATTATTTTTGAGAAATTCTGATTCTGAAAATGAGAATGCTTACATTTGGTCATTTTCATAATACTCAATAAGTAAGGAGAATATTTCCCCTCTTTCCCACAGGATGTTAGCAAGCCTTATCCCTCATTTATTTACGTAAGTATTAGATAATCACAATTAAGTCACCATCAGTGGACAACAAAACATCATTTCATATATGTAAGCTCAATTTTTATTTAAGACATTCTTAATGATAATACTCAGGTTTATTTGTAATATATACAGGACCAAATTAAAATAATAACTGAAATTTTACATTAACAATAGTACTGTAACAGTCCATATGTCACAAGCAGATTTCATTCTTTACAATGTTTGGCAATGAACTGCAAATATGCCAAAGAACCTAAATGTTCCTACCATAAATGAAACAACTTGTAGTATAAACGAAAACTGAATAAATGCATACACTGAGTTTAAAACACCAAATGATGAGATCTAGCAGTATTTTCTCAGTCTCAAGAACAAGACAGTGATAACTCTAGGTTCACCATTTCTGACGAAAATATTTAGCCGATACCTGTCCAAATGTCTGTGCAAAAATTCAAAGTGTAAGATGTCCAGGTTTAAACACAATGAACTGTGTAAGTGAACTATACAACTACAGCTTTCTTATAATTTGGATGTAAATGACACAATTTTACCAATAGATTGAGACTGCACAGCCTGCACTGGTTGCAGCTTCAGCGCAAGTCAAACCCGATGCCTGCACTACCTGAGGGAGCAGGAAAGCAAAGGAAGATCGCTTCTGCTTCAAATCATCTGCAACACTGTTCCACGCTTACGCTTTGGCCACTCCTGGGAAGGTTTGCCAAAAATTTCAAGAATTCACAAATATGCCCAACAAACAGGTTCTACGACAACTGACCTTCTAGCTAATAAGGTTAAAATGCATCAAGTTGTAAGCTAGTCATCACAAACCTCTAAAACGCCTACAGGGATCACGTAAAAACTTGTATTGTTCCTTGCCTCATGGGTGGGGCGCATCCATCGTCTCCATAAAGCACCCGGCCCCGCTGGCTCCGCAGCAGGGAATCAAGGCAGCGTCCGCCTCGAGTTTATTCCAGGCTAAGCGCTACAAGTTACTGTATTACAGCTCAACTGATAAATTAAAATCAAGAGAGTCTCCTGACAAAACAAAACAGAATATTGGGAAGAGAGATGCCTGGAACAGTCCATTTCAGCTACAATTGTACAGTCAGGTTTTGGGGTTTATATTTTCCACTTATCTCATTAAATCTTTTAGTATTACCAAGTGCAACAAAAATTAGAAGTTTCATGCACACCCAGTCTAAATTAATAGCACTGTAGACATCCTAATGATGCCACTTTTTTACCATGAAATTTTAAAAATAACATTAATTCTTATGTTAAAACAACCTCAAGTTCAACAACATTGTTTTAAGAAATTCCCCAAAAGACTCTAAGGTCACATTACTGTGAAGCGGACAAAAGAGTGAGGCAATGTTTTAGGTAACACTGGGTTAGAAATGACATTTTAAGAAATGTTGTTGACTTCCTGATACAGGCTTACACCCAGAATAATATAATCAATTAATTAAATTGCATCTTAATAAATCTGGATTTTACTAATGTTTTAAAAAAGTAGAGTAAAATTTACATTTCCTAGAATCAGCAATCACAACGACAAGGAAGTATATTATATCTGCACACCTTTCTAGGCTGACACCTTGACATTACAGAAAAGCAAGAGATGAAAAAATATTAACAGAAAATGTTTAAAAAGAAACAATACTATGGCTGCTAAACAAATGATGCATGTTTAGTATGAACTTCTACCAGTTCATGAATTTTACAGCTATTTCAAGTTAACAGGTGATTTATTTTCTTTTAATTCTTAAGACTCAAGAACTATAAAAAGCCTTTCCATTCTTTTCTTTAAAATAGTTATCT